ACAACACCAGATTCAGTAGAATGCAATTGTAATGCAATTTTTGTTTCCTGGAAATGCAGTAGCAAGCCTTCTAATTTACAAATTGGAACAATTCAAATTAAGCCTTTATGTCCTTACCAGGGAACAAAACAACAGAACAACTCAAGAAAGCTCCTCCGAAAATTATATTACTCAAATTGATAGAATTTGGGGTTTTATTTTTAAAAATCTACAAGCCAAGAAATCACAGTATTGATTAGTATTTATTTTCCAGTCAATTAAAGTTCAGCCACAGTTTCAGCTGACAGAACCTGATTCACTTTCTCTGAAAAAGCCTGTCATTAAATACAGATCTTCATGACAGGCACATCCTATCTGCCTCTGCGCGGGAGGCAGAAAAGTGGACAGGCTTTAGTTAGACTAAATGCAAAATTTAGGAAACAAAAAAATAATAACCTACAAAAGTTCAAATTTTAAGAAGCAAATTAAGCATTTAGCACCTGTATTGCAGTAACATTAGTAAAGCCCCAAATACAGTGACTGATTTAAGCACCGTTCAAAAAAATGCTACATTTTAAACAGAGCAAGCCGAGACATTGCCAAAATCTTAGTTGATTTTCAAGTGTTTTGATAAGCAAAGATAACATTTTATATTCACTTACTAGATAAAATCCAAAGGCTTTTTAACAGCTTTACAGCAACTCATAATCCTTCTACGCCTATAGTGTAGCAAGAGGAATTAAATAAAACCATGAGCGATACCAGAGAAGAGGAGATGTTTGCTCGCCGCTTCACACCCACCCCTGAACGCTGCCAGATTTGCTCTCAGCTGCTGCTGCCAATGCACATGTGCAGAATTATAAAGAAACTTCCTGCTCGCACAGATCCCATCACATTCTTAACAACAGTAGTTAATAAATAAAAAGCCTTTTGTATCTTGTGTAACGGCTAATTATATTCATCCTACTTGCCTCCCCCCAAAGTCAAGCTGTACTCCACCAGCCACACACGTATAATTGCCACTAGAGCAGATAACACAGAACTGAAGTGCAATGGCATTATAAAAGTCCAGGAAGGTAACAGACGGGAAGAAATTATCAATAAAACCATGCAACTTGAGAGGTTCGTGTTATAAAACCAAAGCAGCTTAACAATTGTCACTGCTGTTAAGACAGACTTTGGAACAGAAGTCAAGCTACCTCAGAGACACCAAAAAAAGCAAACTATAAATATATAATGCACTTAATTTATTATACATAAGTTATCCTATTACATACATTTATCATCAGCTTGTTTCTCCCCCCCCAGCCCCCAAAACAGGTAAGCAGAAATACACACTAGAACTCAACACATTGCAAAATATAACAAATAACCCATTTGCTATAGAAACACTGCCTCTGACAGAACGATGGCCACGAGCCACCAAAATAAAGGACAGTCTTAGTATCCCCACTGAAGGAGTAAAGACATTTCAATGAAGAGTTCAATTCTGTAGCAATGACTCTTTGAATTACAGGGGAAGGGGAGGGAAAAAAAAAAAAAAAACACCCACAAAAGAAAAGAGAGAGGACTGCTAATGAGGTCCCCTCCACAACCAGTTCTTGTCACAACTTGATCATGACCAAATTTGAAGATACCACCAGAAATCACAAGGTCAGAGATTACACTGCAGCCTCAAATTAAGTAACCTGATTACATTAAAAGAATGACAAGACAACAAAAGATTTAATGAAATGTGAAATTCAGCAAAAAGGAGGAAAAACCTTTCAAATATCCGCGCTTAAGAAAAAATAGAATATAAAGGAAGAAAGAATCACATTCATAAGATTCCAGCTCTCATCTTTTCAATTTTGTCCAAGTATTATTATCCTACACAGCTGAGCACAACTTTTAATCCTGAACACACTGCAGGGAACACTGAAGAGAAGAGAGGGATGAAGAGAGCAGCGAGCGAGGCTGGAGCCTGGACAATCAATGCAGGGTTCCCACCAGATATTCTGTTCTGATCGAGCAGCTGCCCCACCCAAATGTCCAGATAGTGAAGAAAATAAACCATTTAAACCTCTCAATATAAAAAAAGCCTCTGCAACCATGGCCTTTGTTACAAGCTGAACATAAACATAATGCAGTATCTTTATTTTAAGCTCAAGTTTGCCATATCTTTCTTCTTTAAAGACAAATAGACAGGATAAAATTTCACATATTCACAGGTGAGAGACTATAAAAGCAGAATTGTTTGTTGCTACCACAATAGAACTATTCATTTCACTGTAATCAGAATATAGTCCCCTATACAGCTGCAAAATATTACCCATTTCTTGTACTAAATGACTCCACCCATACTTCACAAACATAACAGCTTTTCAGCACCACAATCACCTTCTAAACTATGTTTTTTGAGACTTCAAAACAAATCAGCTCTACACACAAAAAAACCAAAATAGGAGCCCAGTAGAACACACAGTAACAAATACATTATTTTTTAGGCTGTAAGAGTACACAGAATTCATCTGAATTGACTGAACCTTCACAAACCCCAACAGTTGGCTATGAAGCCAGTACAAAACTACAAAGCCAAATGTGAACTTACTAAAGCCTTGAGACAGCTTGCTATTATTCTCAAACAAAGTTTTTGCAAGTAAAATGTATAACTTTCAGAAAATAATACAATCAGCAAGAAACTCAAAAATGAATTGCCCGATTTTACTAACTTTCCAGGGTGCAATGCAAAATTATTGTATTCTCTGTCTGAATACAATTTTGAGATGAGACATAGAGCCTCTCTGCTGAATAACTGATATATCTGTCACTTCTAAAAACTGCATAACAAGTAACAAACCTTCATCATCTTTCATGGTCACAGTACCAAACACTGAATTGCCCTGCAAGTTGTAAATTCATATTCACATCAATGGCTACTAGATTTTTGGTGTGCTAACATGGCAGCGAAAAATAATGTGGTTTTACACACAGAATTTAAGGACAACTTGAAGGCATTCTCTTACCAACATCACTTCCTCTTCCTTAGAGCTGCAGCTTCTGGAAGGGGGGGTAAGAAAGGGGGAACTAAAACACCAATCAAAAAAAAATCCAAACTAAAAAAATCACCTCAGACTTGGCAGGATTCACTCACTTTCTAATGAGCCCTAGAAAAGGGCATCGCTGCCGAGCTATAAACATTTGAGCTGAGATCAAAAGATTGATTGATTATTTGAAAAGGGAAAAACCACGTCAAAAAGCCTTCACACACAGAAAGCAGAGGGTTCACAAAATTTACTGTCTGTTCTAAATGCATGGAATATTTCTTCAGCCTCACCTGCTTATGCAAACACACTGTTATGTACATTAGAAAGAAAAGCTTCACTGCTTGCACAGGTCTCGTATTATGAGCCACACATGACAAATGTTATATTGAGTCTTTTAATGAGCTGTTAGAAGGTCCTACAATACTCCAAGCAGCACATACAGCAAGAGCCCAAACTAAGACTGAGCAGATAAAAACCACCACTTGCCAAACTCAGACGTTTTGACACGTTGACCATCTCAAAACTCTGCAAGCATTAGAAATTATTAGGACTTCCTCCTAGTCAAATTCTTTGAATGTAAGCATAAAACACCCTACTCGATTGATTTTTCTAAAATAATACTGTAAATTTCCAGCCTGATGCTTTCAAAACATTGAGATATTTGATTCACTGTGTAATGTTCTCAAGTCAAGGAAAGGATCCCTGTGGCCCTAGACAAAATACAGACAAAGCAGATAAAAAATAGATTCTAAATACTTTCAAATCTATGCAACAAAGAACATGTAAAGCACAAACAGGCTAACGAGACAACTGAATTTGTATAATATAGGACAAGAAACTAGCATTTTCTATTACTCGATTTTTTTTATTCTGACAAACTAAACTTCACAGAAGACAGAAAACCTTGAAAATTAAACACTAATCCAGTTTAACAATTTATTCCAAAGCCACACAGTAACTATTCCATCCCTGAGGACACTAAGTAATATACCTGAAAAAAAAGAAACTGTTTAAGTTTTGATATATTGTTTCTTTTTTTTTTAAGAGACGAGAGTGATTAGCTGATATTTACTTTCTTAATTTGTTGCCTTTTTTCCTCCGACTTCAGCCTGACAGCAGTAACAAATTTTGCAAAATCTTTAAAATGCAGCCAGCCCAAAGAAACAGAGAGCAAGAGAGCTGTGTATTAAAAGTTGAAGTTGCAACGTTTGATTGCAGGAGTGGGTTTTGGGGGTTGTTTTTTTTTTTTTTCAAACCTGAAAGAAGAACCCTAACATTGGACCATCTCACGTTAAAGCAAATTTTGGGAGCAAGAAGCATTTGTACTCGAATGTGTAAATCCCTGAGGAGCCTCCAAGAACAATGGAGAGTCACACTGACAGATTCCTCAGAAGATACATTTGGTCACAGGCTGGAGGGTTGAGTCCATAAGCCAGCGTTCCTAATGCCAGCCCTGCCTTCGCACTGGCGGCAGATTTAGCGACTACCTTTTCTTTTAACTTCTGGAACCAACTTTGCTGGCAGGGAGCTGCTGAGGCTGACGCTGTCAGGCTGCCAGCTCCCCATGGCGGGGTGGGGGGGATAAAGCCGATCCACCGTGGGAGGAGGGAAACAGGCTCGGCAGACAACCGGGCTGGCAGAGCCAAGCAACCCCTGCGGGGCTGTCAGGGCCGCCGGGAAGGTCCCACCACCGACAAAAAAAAGCTCAACCTGGGAGAGGGAAGGCGCCGCTTGACAGCTCCCTCCGGGAGGCTCTAGCAACTTCTGCACCGCGCCAGCCCCCGGCTCCGCCGCCTCCCCTCGCCCGGAGGAGGAAGTTCCCGCTCCCCTTATCAGCGCTGCTCCCACAACCTTCCTCACGCCCGACCCGCCGCCCCGCATCCCGCCTCCGAAACGGGGGGGAAAAGGAGCCCAGCCCGGGCCGGGCCGCAACCCGCCGCCCCCGCGGCTGGGGGCGACCCCCGCCCGCCGCGCATGCGCCCCGCAGCCCCTCACCGTTGCCGGGTGACTCGCCCTCCCCGCCGCCCTCAGCACCACCACCGGCAGCGGCAGCAGGTTCCTCCGCCTCTTCCTACCCCGCGGGCCGAGCGCGGGCCTCTCCTCGCCTCTCCGCTTCTCCTCGCCGGCCGCCGCCGCCTCCTCCTCCTCTTTCTCCTTCTCCTCCTCCCTGGGCCGCCGCCGTCGCCGCGCTGCCGCCCCGGCCGCCGTCCGTCCCCACAGCCGCTCCGTCGCTCCAGCAGCGCCTGGCCCGGCCGGTGCGGGGTGGGTGGGTGTGGGGGGGTGTCCCTCAACGGTAGCGGCGGCAACTGGCGGAAGTGACGCGCTGACTGACAGGTGCAGCGCGCGCGCCCCCCCCCTCCCTTCTCCTCCTCCTCCTCTCCCCGGGGTCACGTGCCGCGGGGCGGGGCGGCGCTGAGGGGAGCCGGCGGCGGAGCCCTCAGGGACCGGCCGGGAGGCGACGGTGGCTCCCGTAGGCCCCCGGGAGGGAGCAAGCCGCCCCAGGAAACGGGGTCTGGCCACCGGGGGTAGCTTGGCAGGCTGGCCCGGCCAGCCCCGAGTCGGTGCGGCCACCGTCCGTTATAGCCCCGGGCTGCCCAGGCCACCCTCCGTTATAGCCCCGGGCTGCCCAATGTCCTCCAACCACCACCATCACCACACCGCACCTGGGAACAACGAGAAATAACCCAAGCGTTAATTATATTTTTCTCTTTTTCCTAACCTTACAGTGACTCAGCCGTCCGCCTGCCTCGGCCTGTGTGGGCTCAGGGGTGCCCAAAGCATGACCACGGCCCTGGGCCTCACCACGCAGGCTTCTGCTCCACCACAGCTTTGCATTCCTCCACAACCATATTAAAAACATTTCCTGCAAATTTCCCGGATTAAAGCGTGAAGAACGATCACCCCCAAACATTTCCCGGGTGTGAGCACGCCAGAAGTAACGAAGTGCCCTTTGACAAAGAGCTAATGCATTTGGAAACACAAAATTTAGCACCCTGGAAGTAAGTTAGCATAAGTTAGTGAGGAGATGGGAGCTCACAGCAGAAGTGTTAAACGCCGTGCCTGACAGTCTGTGGTTCCCACATGCCACGTTGAAACTACAACAGCTTTTTCTGTCAAGCCGTGCCAGCAGCCATAGGTGGTGGGTTTAATAAAGCATTTAAGGAAATTTGGATTTAGTTAGTAAAAAAATTGTCTCAGGGAAAGCTTTTCTTCCAACGAAAAACTGACAAAGAGTGTATGAAAGGGGAAAAAATTAATCCCATTGTACTGCTATCATTTTTGAATCTTGTATTGCCAATAGCCGGGAGAGTTTTGTTTTAGGTTTTCCAGCATAGATTCTAAATTTAACCTAGAGATGCATTTATAAGACTCATTAAAAGGTTTTACATTTAGAATCCGAAGAAGAGAGAGTCACAATCCCACAGAAGATTAGCCTGGTTTTAATAATATCTAAAACTATATTTTCCCTGCTAGAAGATTTGGTATGATTGGGAGGTGCCCTTCAAAAACAATAAAATGTGTACAGTCAGGGGAAACGACCTCTCCGGAGGTCTGTATTTGCTGTCAATCTGCTTCCACAGCAGATTTCTCCACTTGAGCAGCTAATAAAATTTCCTCGCATCAGGATGAGGTTTCCGAATTTGTATTTTGTATACATAGCTGTGTTCTTTCTGATTCATTTAGCCTCATCAACAACAATAAAGACACTGAATCAGAACAAGCTGGCAATTTTGTTGATGAAACATGGGAGAGCACGGACTCCAGCTGGCTCTTCAGCAGATACGTTGGCCGGTTGACAGGAATAAAACTGCGAGAAACCTGACACGGAAAACACACACGGCGAGAGGAGACAGACAGCAGAGGCAGGCAGGTAGGCAGGCGCTGCACAGCACCTGTTCTGTGGTTTTGGGTCCAAGACAGTGTCTTCCCTCCTCTGAACTGGCTCCGAGTGCACCGTTTCGTGCCAGCTTATCCTACCTCCTTCCAAACGCTTCCCGCGTTCCTCGCAGGGGGCAGACATATGCAGTCCCAGGCTGCCATTTTAGTCTTTTCTGCTCGCTTTGTGTTCTCGCTGCCTGTTTCTGAAAGGTCGAGGAGAACCTGGGAGTCCTGGTGCTTTGGCCGCTTTTTCCGAGATAGTAGATATAGAGGGAAGGGAGGCAACAACTTACTGAGCAGCTGTGTAGTTACACCCTCAAAATACACCTATTGAAGGTGTCTGCTTCTCAGATCACTGCTAAAAATTCTGTTGGAGCGATGTGGTAACTGTCCCCCATCCGTTTTCCACTATCTTGGGGCGCAGCTCATATTTTATGGTAGCATTTTGTAATTCTCCCAGTTACGTGGCAGGCAGACTGTCTCACAGCTCGGACACCCAGCCCAGTTTCAGCAATCCAGATAAGACAGCGTGGAGCTTGCACAGGCTCATTGACCCACACAGAGCAGCCCCAGCACGAGCGTGGCTGCTGGCCCATCTCCTGACACAGGACTGTCACCCTCATGTCGGGACGAGTGACAATGCACTGCCTTGCACAGTGAAGAGGCTGCAGCTTGGGGCTGCTCACGAGGAGAAGGGCCCATTCCCCAGCTGCTGCGCAGCTCCAGGAGCTTGGCAAAAGCATCCCATCAGCATCTGGCTCCTTGGACCAAAGAGTGGAAGTATCATGGCATCCCTGTCTCACCAGTAAATCCACATCCAGAGCCTCACCACAAAGGGTGAGCCTTTTCTGTAGCTCAGTGTGTTAGCTTACACGTCCAGCTAAGCTGCTCAGCCTAAAAATTTTGCAGAAATTCTGCTGTTTGGTGCTCACAAAGTAACTCACTAGATCTGAAATGATTATAACATAATTCCCGTGTTTTCAGGAAGAGCTCTTCAGTATAAGTCACAGAAGAACTGAAGCCATTATTTCCTTCCTGGGTCCGCAGTGTCAGTCCTGACCTAGTATGACTTTGGAATAAATATTCTCTGAATACTTTAGTTTCCAATTAAATCTAGTCCCAGCAACAGCCCTGCATTACTCCTCATCAGAAACTGAAGCAGATGAAAGAAAATAGCCTCATCCCAACTGTGCTCAGTGTTGTACAAGGCTTAGTACAAACAGAGCCAGAATACTCCAGAATTTAAATCAATTTTTCAATGCCATCCAGTCCTCTGAAGGTTAATAGCCTGCCATACAATTCCTTACCTTCATACTGCGTCATTATCTTACTAGAGGGAGATGGAAATCTGATGCAAGACACTGTCTGCTGCAATATCTGTACGTTATATGCCAACAACTTTGACTTGGGGGGGGGAAATTACGCACTTGTCAGCAAAGTATTTGCTGTTTGGTTTAATTTTCCACCTACAAACAAATTATTTGATATACTCTTCTGGACTTGGAATTGCTCCATTTTTGTCTTGAATGGATCCTATTGATACCTTGCAAAAATATTGACAAATGTGAATCCTTTCAACACCAAAGAAGAATTAAAAACAATAGCACTTTCCAGCTGGTTGCCCTGCAAAATACTTTCGTTTCCCCCATATTTCTTTCAGAAACAGAGACATGTCCCCAAACTGAGTTTTTGCTTTGTTCATCATTGCCACCATTATAAAATCTTCCATCAGACATTTTGTTTCAGAATCCCCAACACAAGACACTTGGCCACATTGGACACCAGTAATTCCCCATGGCAGCTCTCAAATCAGCAATAAGCCGGTTCTGACACACTGTGTCCAAAAGGGCACCTAAGAATCAAAGTGCATTTTTAAAGCTTTCCCCTGTATTAACAGATGAACCTTCACAACTCTCAAGCAAACAGGTGAAAGAACCTGTTTTCTAGAAACAGAAACTCCAACCCAGAGAAAACCATTCATCTTTTCAAAGACTGTCTGCCATTACTAGACACATATGTAGGGATTTTTCTTAAACTGAATTCAATATCAAAGGCACATGTTCCACGTAAATGTGAGACATTTTTACTTGCTTTTCGACCAGAGTTCTGTGATTAAATAAACATTTACAGCATAAGATTTTTTTTTCCTTCCTTTGAATACTTTTTGGATCTGAATCTCGGGTTTGGAAGATCTGCCTTTAAAGTAGAGATCTAGGAATATGGGGCAAATGTAGCTTTTAAGGCTTGTTCACATTTTAATTGCATGGTTGCAGAGTTAACAGGAGATAATTCTTCCCTTCTTGAAATTCAAGACATTGAAAGGTTAATTCAATCTTCTCAGTTCCATTTCCTTCCTTCTGTTCCTCTTCCCACACTTCCCCCCCCCATCTGTAGACAGCTGAGTTATTTGAATTTTATGCAAGCTAGTATTCATCCAAAGAGAAAAATCATTCAATGTATGCATCAGACAAGCAAAAATTACAATATTTCACACTTTCATTTTTCACTTCCTATTTGGTTTTCTCTGTATTCACTGGTTTGGGCCATGGACAGACCACGAACTCATGCCCTAAAGCTAGTTTCTACTGAAACATGAACTTGAATTAAAGCTTGAACGTCCCCATCCCTTTTGAATTCCTGCGCTCACAAGGATTTATGCTTGAGCTGCCATGGTGCTTTTGCCTTGAGCTGGGGAAAGGCTACAGCTCCAGTTTGCACAATTTGTCTGTGGCCAACACAATCACTCTGTGCTGCTCCCATGTTATTTCATGGTGTGGTCACTCACACTCAAAGTACACCAACTCCAGAGGAGTCATTTTGGGTGTACAGAGCTCAGGTCAGCCCTGTTATAAAGATATAGCCTTAAAAAGGCTACAACTGATTTCTGCAGTTATTATATATTTGCAAGGAAAAAAAAAAAAAAGCCATAAAAGCAGTCATTGAAAATGTGCCAGTTAAGTGAGGTTCTCAAGAGATAGCTGTTCAACTTCAGATGCTGCGAGAGAAAAATAGTTGTCTCTTTTTTTGTTGTTGTTACATTTTAGAGAAGAAAAACAGCATTTAACAAAACATACTTGCAGCTTTCAGTTGAACAGACAGAAGTCAACAGATGTGGAACTTGCTGATGACCACTTACTTACTTGTTGACCTTGTACACAGTATGTAATACCTATCTGTTTGGCTTACTCTGTATAACAAGCTTATAAAAATGGAAAAGGATTTTTTGAAAAGATGATGTATGAATCCCTTCAAGTAGAAATACGAGTTTTTATCCTGGAAATTGCTCACTGAAATCAGGTAGAGAAGGTACTTGGCTGCCTAGTCTGTTCCTCTGTTTCAGCAGCCTCATTTCCTTAAGCAGCTGAAAAAATTCAGGGTTTATCTTC